AAATATCCTTTTAATTTGCTTAATTATCTTTTGACTGCAGAAAGATACCACCAAGTGGCAAGTTGGTCCTCACACTTACAACTGATGCTTGTGAGGGGAAGGAGAATTTTGTCCGTTACCTTGAACACGTCCAAGCAGTTATAACTGTGAATTCAACTCGGCGAGGAGACCTCAACATCAACATGACCTCGCCAATGGGAACGAAGTCCATCCTACTGAGCCGACGTCCAAGGGATGATGACTCCAAGGTGGGTTTTGACAAATGGCCTTTCATGACCACACACACTTGGGGAGAAGACCCCCGAGGCACCTGGGTTCTAGAGATTGGGTTTATTGGCGGTGTGCCACAGCGGGGTGTGCTGAAGGAGTGGACACTGATGCTGCATGGGACCCAGAGCGCACCATACATAGACCAAATAGTAAAAGATTATCAGTCCAAACTGGCCATGTCCAAGAAGGAAGAGCTGGAAGAAGAATTAGATGAAGCAGTGGAGAGAAGCCTGAAGAGTATACTGAGCAAGAACTAGAGCTGTTCTGCATGAGTGTCTTTCCTTTCCCAGATCCTTCTGTTCACCTTTCTGCTATCCAAACCTCTGTGTTAGACATATAACAATGATCGTCTCTGTAGCCAAATTATCACTTTCTTGATTTTAAAGTCTTATATATTGTCAATAATTATTTTAATCACCACCAAAGCAATCATTTTTTTACTCTAAACCACAAATATATTGTCCCCCACCAAATAACTATGTACAGTTTGTGATTCTTCTTTTGTGTCATACAAATAGGTAATATCTGTAAACATGCCAATAGCTATTCCCTTCATATTTTTGTGGTATCTGTTGTTTGTATTTAAAAAAAAACAAACAAAAAAAGTGAATTTTAATATTGGCTGTTGATGATAATGGGTGCATTTTAAAAAATTATTGTGAAAGAGGGAATTTACAAAGAGGTTGGCTGGAGAGGTCTTTGAATGTCTAACAGCTCCTTTTGAATCATGGGCTTCTGTGGGAACTTCCCCACTGAGTTCAACCAAAATAGCACTAGACCCTAGAAAAAGAGATGATCTAGAGATGAAAAATTTTCAGTCCAATTTTTGGAAACCGGTTTTAGAGTTTTCTTTAGTATAAACACATAGACAGTATGCACATTAGCACTTCAGCCACAGAATGGTTCTGCAACAAGCACGCGATTGGGAAGGCAAGGCAAGGCTAGGGCCAGGTGATAAAGGGAAGTGCATTGCAAACAGTCAGGGCATTCTAGAAGCACAAATTTCAGAGTGGGTTGTTTTTTGTTATTATTATGTTGTCAATTTAGATCAGCTTACCATCTTACAGTGGTATGAGTACGTAGGGAATGATCTGTAAGGTTTCTTGCAACCTGTGTGCCAAAGTGCATCTGTCCACCTCTATACTTAATGCTCTATACTACAGCAGCAGAAGATGCAGCCGTGTCAGCATTTCCAATCTCAGACCCCTGTTTTCTGGGGTTTTCAGCCTGGCTGTCAGCAAATTGCTGTGGGAAATAAGAAAAACGCAGCTTGAGTCCCCAAACCATTTTAATTCAAATTTCACTTTTAAAAATAGAGATTTGTTATTTTTGTGTTATACAAATATATTTAAGGAGAAAAATATGCCTATGTAATTTATGTGTAATGCAACGTTGGCCTTCTTCGGAAAATAAAATATAGTGCATTTGGGAAGATTTGTCAGTAATTCTTGCTTTTGGTGTCAGTCCCACCTTCAGCTTTCACACGTAAGTCTGTCTCACCTGCCTTGGGGTCTGCTCTGGCTGTTGCCACATCACGCTCCCCTCTGTGTGGACTCAAGGTAACAACCACTACAGGTTCTCAAGTGTGAGAGCCCAAACTGAACGTCTGAGAAATAAAGGGTCTTGATTCTGCAAGTACTGCACTCACAGTAACAGCAGCAGACCTACTCAAGCATTGATGTAAAGCAGGTGCTTAAGATGTCGGAAGGATCCAACATCCACTGCTTAGACATCCACTGTTTTGGCAGTGACTGGTTTCAGAGTTTTATTATGTATTTTTAATATACAGAGTATTCATCTAAATTGTTTTACTAAGAATTTTTCTGGTTAATCAGGTGTGCAGTGGCAGAAACATAGTAAGCAAATAAATATTTATCTAATAAATTAAAAATGTAACCCAAAGGTTATATGGTGCGTACGTTTCACTTAAAAATGTATAACTTCTTGTTACTTCAAGTGAATATCCATCTTCTATCCTTCCATCAGGCCTGTTCTTTCCTTTCCAAATACAAATGCAAAATAAAGAGCTAAATCTACTCACAGTCTTTGTGAATTACGTTGTAAGCCCCAGACAAGCAGCCCCGTGCTGTTCAGAGGTTCTGCACTACATGCAGAGACAGTAGGGTCATATTTGGATAACACAGGTGTCAGAAGGACAAGAACCAGCCCCTGTGTGGTTTCTGTTTTTAAAGCACTCTGTTATTCGTTCTGATACATTACAGTGTCAGCTGTGTTTAACCTGCAGATTTAAGAATTAAGCCAAGGACAAGACAGGCCTGCTTCAAACCATGACTGGGAAGCATAACCCAAAAGGCTTGGGGACAGGCTTGCTCGTGTCTGTTTGGAATTGAAGGGCCCACACTGACAGCAGGAGGTGTTCAGGGAAGGCACCAGAAAGAGCATCATATGCATAACAGAGGGAAGAATTTACCACGTATGTGTGTATTTATGCATACTCCTGTAAGTCTAGGTGCATAGAACATCCCTGTGGTACCTTTGTATTACATACAATATGTATACTCAGAGTATGTTACATACATTTCCTTATAAATACCTAAAGCATACATACAGTATGTAATGTATAACACATACTCACACCTCATTACCTTTTGCATGTGTGTGTTCAAAGAAACAGATAAAACTGGAAGATATTCATGGATTTCTGGAATGTGGAGTAAGAAAAGTCCACATGGAAATCTTAAATGAATGTGTGCATCTCTTTCCATTGCATTCATGTAATTTTGCAATTCCGTTCAATCATTAAATAACTTATTTAGCAGCAAAATGCTATGATTGATCATATTTTCCTAATGTTGACATACTGTGTGAAGTGAAAGACCACAATAATGAGTGATAAACAGAAATGGTGGGTTTTGCTATGGGTACATCTAAAGCTACCTGTATATGCAACATAGAGATTACTTCAGATTCTTCAGAATTTTTGCATCAGGGGAATCACTGAAAAATATGTCAAGTTAGACTAAGTTTTCATGATATTGCTGATGGGAAATAAAGTTAATTTGTTAGCTTTTATAATCAGGGGGAAGTTGACACTCTTGAAACAGGTGAATATTGTTTAATCCAAGTGAGATAAAGAGCTGTTGTAAATTGGCACATCCTATCATCATTGCTTATCTGATGGCACTGTGCTGTCAGCCAGGTGACTTCCTAACCTCCTGCTTCTCATACTGATAAGGAAACTTATATCCCACCTTGGTTACTGAAAAAACAAACACGATCCTGCAAGAATGGACAGGAACAAGAGAAGAGCAGCATGCCTGGTGTTAACTTTGTGGCAGAGTGGGATAGAGAAGATCAAGGATGCAGGCTGGAAAGAGCATTAGGCATTGCTTACATGGTTCAAACCCAGTGGCTCCAAGGGAAGCTCTGCAGATGTGTGATTGCTGAATTGCTGCTATCAGTGGGGAAGAGGATGCTCAAGAAGGAAGACACTGACAATTTTGCACTGTCTCATACACAGTGGCAGTTCTGGCCCTGAGGAAGTAATAGGATCTGCCACAGCAGTATTTTTCTCTACTATTTGGAGCACTTTGATCCACAAAAAAATCCTATTTCCCTCTACCTCCTACCCATATTTTCTGAGTAGGTTTTAAGCACACATGCCCCCATAGTGCAGCATATGTGTGATTTTAAAATAACCACAGCTGTGATTTCTTACCATTCCTGCAGCAGTAGAAGACAGCTGGAAATCTCCTCATCTAGTTCTTCTTATCACTGAGGTGACAGTGTGTCAGCAGTAACCTATGTCTCATCCCAGGCTTTCCTGAATAAATGCTCACACATTTCACTGCTACGTCTCAGTGTTAGTGTTTGAGAGTCTGCATTAAAGCAGTGGATAATCCATAAATCATGAGATTTACTACACATTGCATCATTGTCACTATGAACAATAACTTCCCAGTGTTTTTTTCTCTATATGTTTAGAGAAATACGAGGATCTGCCCACCGTCTGCTGCCATGGTTGTGGCTGGCAGCTCAGAGAGCATAACAGAATTCAGGCCTTATTTCAGATAGTGCTCTACACTAGCACACGCACAAAGATTTCTTTTGCTTTTTCTTTTCTCTTTTTTTTTTTCTTGTCTTTTTCCTGAGTCAAGGATTTCTGGAAGCTGTAAGAATCTGATGCAGGAGTGCTGCTTCATGCTTCTCCAGGCACATGGACAAGCAGCCCTTGTTCCCATGGAGCTCTGTGGCACTGCAAGTGACCGGGATGCAACAGGATCACGTGGCAGCATCAAACTCTGTACAATGCTACAATCCAAGGAAATAAGCAACAAGAAAAAATGAAACAAACAAAATGAAGAGTCTTTTGAACTGCCTGCAGTCTGCTCAAAAGCTTGTTTGCTCTCATAAATGCCTCAGTCATACTGGTGAAGGAAAAAATAACACCTTTAGAGTATTTTAGAAGGGTTTTCCCCTGCTTTATTTTGGTGGCACTTCAATTTCTATTCTGAGTAGATGTGCAGTACGAGCTTATTTCAAGCACAGCAGGTTTGTCTTCAAATGCAAAAAGAGTGTTCTGCCCAAGGTCACCTCTAGTTAAAGACAGCGAGCGAGAGAGATTTGGAATGGGTTAGAGAACTCAATTTCCAGCTCCTCCTTTGGAAAGACTCCTGCACATCTATCAGTTAACTTTTAGCAATACAGCCTGTTATTCAACAGTAAAGGCAACACACAGCCACAGTGGGTACTTTCTGTAGAAGGCAAAGCTTTTATTAAATGAATCGGGTGTCACAAGTTAACATTTGCAGCTGTCAGATGGGGAATCCCGTTGCAGCTATAGGAGAAGTAGAGAAATACTCACTGGCAAATCTGCCCTGGATACTTCGGAAAGTCAGGCAGCTCTGTAATGATGATTGATTTCAACTTGTCCTTATTGTGAAAATAAGTTGCATAGGATCTGCCCATTACTCTTGTCCTGGAGCAGTCTCACATTCGTTACAACACAGCCGAGCCTACATCAGACAGAATTTTGCCACCAAAGTATCAATCTGTTCCATACCAAACAGCAAAAATCTCACTATTGTATCATTCGATCAGGAAAAAAAAATTACATCATTTAATAACTATGCCAGACAAGTTGACTGCTTGTCATTTAAGAGCCTTTGTCACCCGGTTTCTTCTTGCTTGTCTTCTCTATCATCGTCTCCACAATCATAGCTGTCTCTTCATATGTCTGAATTCTGTCATCTGAAAACTTCTCGATGGACTCCACCACCTCCACCTTCTCATAGCTCACGGAGCCAGGCAAGCCTGCTTCCCGGAACAAGAGGCCCTGTTTATCTTCTCGGTCATGCTCTGTCTCTTGAAGTACTCCTGGCTCAGCAGGGCTTATCAGACCCGGGCAAGGAACTGCCTCGGGCTCGGAGACGTCTGGATACTTTGTGACTTGCTCAATTTTCCCCCTTATTTTGCCCCATTCAAACAGATCTTCTTTCTCCTCCTCTTTCAGTTTATCTTGGGTTTCAGTCTCGTCTCTCCTTTCACAGATGTCCCTTTTCTCTTTTTCTGATGGTTCAGTAGGTTCAGGCAGCTCCGGTATGGGCTCCACATCACCACCAATCGTTACCTTCCCATTGCTGGTAGAAACTGTGATTCCTCCCCCAGCTGGGATGGATGCGAAGCAAGGTTCTTCATAGCCTTCCTCCCCTGTTACCAGCACATAACGCCCTTTGGGGTGGGAATCAGCTTTAGCCTCTGGTTTCTTGTAAACTCTGATTTTCTCCCTCACAATGTTACACAATTTATCAAAGGCTTTACTTATCTGGGCTCCATCCGGTACGTCCTCTGGGACTGCTTCTTTTTCAACAAGTTCTAATTCCTCCTGCCCAGGTTCACATGTGACTGAACCTTCATGTCTAAATTCCAGCTGATCTTGGTCAAAAACTTCCACAGTTCTTTCATACATTTTTTCAGGCGAGAGCCCGTCGGTTATGTCTTTAGACATGATCTCCTTTTTCCTGGAAAGTTTCTTTGTCAGCGCTTTTTGTCTGGGCTTTACACTGGCAATCTCTTGCATAGCCTGGGTGATATCTAGGGAGAACAAAAACAAAGCAAACAACAGACAGTCCTGAACACAGCTGCTGCAAATGCTGGAGCCATCTCTCCCTCTCACTGCCTCAGTTAGAGAGCTGAATGCAGCAGCAAATGCGAGCACACTTCCCACTAGCACATTAGACAGCCTCTTCTTTTGCTGGGGCCCCCTTGGCCAAGCAGTCATTTTGCATCTGAGATAGCCACATCTATAACCTGAGGGTATGGCCTCATTCTTTATGGATCCCTTTCCATTAGAAGAGCTACATTTCACAGAACAGTTAGAAAAATTACACCTGTAAATTCTCTTCTTGGAAAGTGTGTCCTTTCTATTTGGTCCTGTCCCTTGTCACAAGGTTACAAGCATCCTAAATCAAACAGGCAATCCCACAACACCATAGAAACACCTTATTTAGAAGTAACCATGTCAAGATCTGTGGAGACGTGACACTGAGGGATGTGGTTAGAGAGCATGGAGGGGACAGGTTGGGGTTGGACTTGGAGATCTTTGCAGTCTTTTTAACCTGCTATGGCCCATAAACATATGACCAAAAAGTGTTCTCTGCCAGTCTGCTGACACTGTCTCCACATAGCTGAAGTCAATTTGCAACAAGTCAGCAAAACAAACTCCAGTCCTTCAGTAGTTTTAGGTGCCTTTCGACTGGGTTCTGTTGATTGGCCTAAGTAGAAAATTCCAAAAATAAGCAAAGAAATTAGTTGGTTGGAGTTTTGGCCTTGGACAACTTGTCTCAAAGCCTGCTGAGGAAAGCTGAAATTGCTGCATTCACTTAGCAAGCAAGCCTTGAAGTCAGGTTGTCACAGCTGGTGTTTGTATGAAAGACAAACGGAAAAACGGCTTAAATTACAGTGATGCTGCTCATGACAGACACAGGAAGACATGTCAAGGTTTACCTCTTCCCCTCGAAGCTTGAGGCTGGACAGGTCTATAGATCTGCGTGAAGAGTGTGACTGGCGTTCCTGCTATAGCAGAGTTTAACCTGCCGGAGAAGACGCGCAACAGTCAGACCTCTCCCCCTCATTTCCACCGTGAGCAAGTGAAATTGTGCAAAACTAAACATGGAGACTGAAGGAAGAATATATTTCTCTGCGGTGAGGAGTTATAAAGAGAGTGGTGAGAGCAACACAGCTACAGAGCCTCCACGAGAGCTGGGATGTACACAGATAGAAAAGAACTGCAGCATGAGGTTGTAATTTATCACAACATCTTGAAGGGAAGATTTGAATGGCAAACTGTCCATCAATGCCTATCCAAAGCTGTGCCTCTGCAAGAGCTGCTGTACATTAGCCTCCAGCAGTGCCTGGGACAAAACAGGGACAACGAGACCTGCTCCAGAAGAAGGGGCAATATGATGCAAATGAGAAAGCAGACAGCCACACATCAGCAGGTGCAGGTTCGTTTTTCCTTTTATATCATTTAAGAGCAGCTTCTTCTGTCATGGGAGAGGAAAAAAGCCTTAGCAAGTCTCTAAGTACCGAAAAGTCAGAAATATTTAAGCTATTGATAAAGAGCTGTTCCCATGCTGAGCTCCTCTTTGGCAAAGAAATCAGAAGCCACAAGATTAGTCAGCTGCCATGGTTTCTGAGCTTGTCAGTACATGGGAGAAGTCTTGAACCATAAAATTTGCTTCAACTGAAACCTACTTATACAACAGTCCCCAGAGTACAGTCCTGTGAAGGAAATGCAAAACTGCACATGCAGCTTTTTGAATCAGTTGCCTCAGTGACCCTCTGCAACAAGGCAGCTTTTTTCTGTTTACCCTGGAGGTGGCTGAGTATCTCAGAGAAAAAATGCTAACCTTTGCCTTAGCATCTTGTATCCAAGATATGTTCATATACGTTATTTAATCTCTACAGTATGAAAGTAACTTTGTATCAAAGGAAAAAATAATGGCTGCAATGGTATCACCTAAGTTCTCCTACAGCCAAACCTCTAGGAGGTCTCCGTGCAGTGGGGATTTTTCTCTTTGAGGTAACTGAAATAGATGTGATTTTTCAAAGAACAAAGGACTGACAAATCTTTCCTGAACAGCACAATCTCTCTGAACGTGTCAGAGATTGTATTCATCAAATGACATCATCACTTTAAAAGCTGGACAGTAAAATATGAAGTTTGGTAATGTTTAGACATTAGTCTAGACAATAGACAATGTATAGACTAATGCCTGCTAATGCCTGACTTCAGAAGGGCAAGAGGAAAACTGAGCAGTCTTTTTTGGAAAATATTTGTGGAGTTGGTTGTATTAAGGGTTAAAAATTAAAACAAAACAAAACAACAAAACAATGAGAGGCTGGCTTATATGAAATCACCACATCCGTGGCCTTACCAGTCTGCTCTGCCAGAATTTGAGAGAGTATTTCCACCTGCTGGGGGGATGTGAAGACACTCTGATGGGTATCTCTGTGCCTAGCCTCGAGCTGCAGCTCCTCCCGCAGTCAGGAGAGAGGGCCAAGACATGGCTTTCGGTGCAGAAAATGACCCTAGCGGATACCCCTTATCAGAACGCACTGTCCAACATGAGATGCGGAAAGTCAACCTCAGGAGAGGCAGACGGTTGACGCTAGAGGGTGCCAGAGCTCCTCGGTAGACCTCAACACAATCCAAAGCTTTGCACACTTCTTGCACTCTGTTCCCCTCCTTGCTATGAATTCGCTGTGGAGGAGAAACTTGCTTTGCAGGATGTTTGCCCTCCCTGCCCAGGGCCCCATGAGCCTGCCCAGAATGTTCAGCAAGGTTGACTGCACATAGGCAGCAGAGAGGGCATTCAGTTGGCTTCCATACGGTTCTGACCTCTGCGCACTGAAAGGAGAAGCACAGAATGGCCCTGACTCTTTGGTAGGGACGTGAGCAGGTTTTGCATCTATGTAGACTGTTGTTGGAAAAATACCAATGAAAGATGTGAAATGACCATAGCAAGATCAAATGCCCTTGAAAATACTACAGGTTTGGGTTTGTTTTTTTTTTTTTTCCAAATGTAGTAAGAGAGACCCCTGGGCCCTTCAACAGAGTGCAGGAACCCAGCCTTACCGGCTGTCCTCGTTCTCAATGATTCGCTTGTAGCGCTCCAGCTCGTTCTCCAGGGACTGCTGGTAGATCACCAGCTGGCGGCAGTCAGTCGTGTACTTCTCCAAGGTCCTCTCTGCTTCTTCTATCCCCTTCCTGAGGTTCTCAATCTGCTCGTTGTAAAGCTGAATTTCGTCGTCGTAACTCTCCTGGGTGTTTTTTATCGCTTGCTCCAGCATAGTTGTCTGGCAAACAAAGATGGTGAGGAACAGAATCAGCTCTGAATTATTGGGTATCCCCATCTGATAGTTATTTCAAAGGCGATTCAAGGCAAGACATGATCTGTTGAGCTGTGCTGCCAACACATAGAGGCAAACAAAAGTAATATCTGTGCAGTAAGTTTGAAGTGCGTCACTGAGACGTACACTAACCAGGAGGTGGCGATGAGGTCCTTCCAAAGCAAGGGATGGAACTAAACATGTGGGCTGTTTCACCAAATCTGTTCTCATTTTCATCTGCTGTTTGGCTATTTGCTATAGTTCATCTATCACTTGGCATTTTTTCCCTTTGCAAGCATCCTTTATTAAAGAGATGCACAAAAATGTGACAGGGCTACAACTGGTTAACGGGTTCTTTAATAATTGAATGATTTCTGCATTTTACAGGCAGGATTTCCAGAAACCTTTTAAGAGAATAAATTTAGGATTTAAGTCCCTTAGCACTGATTCAGTTATACTGTGGTGTAAGAGCGCTGATGAGTGTACAGGTTCAGTGCTGAGAAGGTGGAACTGATAAACTCACTGCAACACAGTTGTCATGTTAGGAAAATGGAAAGCAAACGACCTCAGTGACAATTCAGCCATCAGATCCAGCCTTCATTGTCACAAGTAACTCCCACACCTAAAGTTATTTAACTTTAAGGCCTGAGAACAAATCAATTAAGATGTAATGAGATATGAAGATTTGATTTTGAAAGCAGCATGATTAATTTTCCACACAGCATGCTTCTTCAGGTGCCAGGAGATGGCTGATTTTCTCCTCAAATCTACATGGACTTCCAGTCTCACTTGTTACTCTATTGATTTTTGCCCTTCCCAGAGCCCATGTGTCCTTTCCACCAAAGCATCAGACTTGAGAAAGAGTCTGAGGAAAAGACCAGGGGTATTGCTGTCCAAGAGTAACACAGTGAGAAAAAATACACTCAGCTGCTGCTGTGGCTGTAAAAAGGAGTTCAAAATCCCACCAAAAGCTATTTTATGCCACTACAATCATCCTCTCTCACATATACAGAGGACTCACATCTTGAGGCCTAAAAGAAGCTGCACCTGGAGGGGATGTGGTGATCATTCTCCAGTCCTATCTATCCACAAAGAAAACATTCCACTTCACAGATGTGCCATGTGCAGTTCTACATAACTGGTTTCTGTTCACTGTAGCCTCTTCCAGCTGCTCCATCTCCTGTCCCCTCTGTCCTCTCCTCTTTCACCTTTCAGTTTTTAATATGTGCCCATAAAAACCATAGAGTCATGGTTGCATTTATGTCTAACAATGGCAGTACCTCTGTCTGCAACTTGTACTTTTGAGCCTGTAGCTGGCAGAGGATGCTCTTGTATTCCTCCAGCTGGCTCTGAAGAACAGGGATCCTCCTTTCTGCTACAAGTTTTTCCTGGTTGGAAGAAAACATATGCAGGAATTTAAGTTTCAATTATATAAAGTTACCACTGAAAATAATCCATAAACACAAACAGAAAATGACAACAGACAAGTTGGGTACTGAACCTCAAGAAAGCCCTTCTGGCATGACAAAAAATAAAAGCTGCGATACAGCAGTGCTGTAAAAGCACAGCTTGTGCTGAAAGTAGACTGTTTGTGTCTTCTAATAAATGTCCTTCAGGCAGCTACTCAGATTGGTGTGAATTACCAAGTTTTCATCCTGTTTGTAGCTATTTATCTACAGTTATTCACATCATGCCTCGTCACACGATTTGCTCTCTCTGTATATGTGCATACATCCTGCCAGCTCCAGCTCACACCAGAAGCACAACTACTTCCACCACCTTTGATCTTACCGTTTTTGCAGTTAACACCCATGCTGACATGCACCTGTAACACACTGTCCCTTCTCTTGTTCACTTTGGTTTCCCAAAGCTACAATTAGTTTTTTTCTCATAATCAATATTCAGTACTTAACCACATTTGTTGCACTTTTCATTTGACTAGCTGGGAGATCTGGTACACTTTAAGAATCAACATGGATTATTTTTCACTTAGTACAGACCCTGCAGCATGCATTTACCAACAGCAACACTTACCTCAGATATGCCAGTAGTTATAGGGGACACGCGAGGGGTTGTCTGGATGATTTGCTGTAAAATGTTGACATAGGTCTGGATTTCCATGAGGTTCTATGGCAAAGCAAAAGACATTTTTGTCAGAAAATATCACAGCTGCCTGTAATGCTCTACTCTGAGTCTTACTGCTAGATATTTATTTATTCCAACACATGGAAGTTCAGATCATGTTAAGACTTGTTTTTGCCAAGTAGTTTTAGGCTTGGTTTAAACTGCTTGTGTCATTATAGTTCTACTGTGCTTGGGGTATTACAGGTATGTGTCTAGGTTACAATGTAGTACAGTCTTAATTAAAGGCGATGTGACTTCTAGTTTTACAGTAAATTTTCAAAATGAGGATCAAACAATATCTTTGCATGTGGTCTAAAAAGAGAAGCTTCTTCTTTCAAAAGTGGCAAAGATGAGACTCTGGCCTGCTGCAAGATCCCACTGCCCTCCCAAGGAGAAGGGGAATGCATGTATTAGAGTTGGCAGCAACTTAATCATACAGCCACAGGATAATGTCTACTGACTAACCAGAATGTTCTAGCCTAGAAAATCAGGATCCTCCCTTTTGCAAACCCAATAGCTTCCTAGCATGAAATGTAAGACAGCCTGATCAGCTTGTTGGGTTGAATCGCAGAATATCCTCAGCTGGAAAGGACCCACATCATGGTAACAGGTCAAGAAACTGAAAACATTGCTACTGGTATAGATACTGGATTCTGAGTAAGTCAACTCAAATGCCTTCAGCCACCCAATTATTGCTGTTTTGGTCACTGACTATATATAAATTACACATTAAAACACAAACTGGATTTCCTTTTATTGGCCACTAGAACAGACCACAGAGAAGGATAAAGCTTCACACAAGTCTCTAGAAGAAAGCTCTAAAAAAGATGGCAAATCCAGCCAGTTACCTTCTTATATCTGTCTTTTGTGGCATTAATGTCATCCTGCAGGAACTGGGACTCGATCTGCAGCTCCAGGTTGCACAGCAGGGCTTCATCCGCTTCCTACAACACACAGAGAGACATGGACATGCAGACAGTACATAGGGCTGGAGTGCCACTGATCCACCATGTGAGTCGCTTCACTGGTGTATGGAGAACTAAAGTCTACTGGGAGAAATAAAAATATTTTGAAAGCAATGAACAATAAGCATTTTATATATCGTGTACACATTGTACACACTGCTTTTCTGCATAAATATAATTTATGGTACAATTTAGCATAGGCAGTGTCAAAATATGCTTACTGTATGCTTTATGAATGCTGGGATCCTAGTAATAGACACAGTGAAATACTGGTTGGTGATGCTAAAGACTGCAGTGGGGCATGAATCTTAAACAGATGACATCAACAGAGTAAAGCATTGATTTCTCTAGTGCTTATGATAGGGCATCTTGAGTCATTTTTAATATTCTCAGTGAAAAGTCCCCTTGAAAACAAACAGACTGGTCCAAACTATTTCCACTTCTCCTTTTGGCGTTATTTCATATATCACAAATATTTGTCAGACTCGAAGCCATTTCTGGAACTAAAAATGACAGATGAGCAAGCCCCAAAAAGTTGGTCTGCTGCAGAACTATTCTGTTATTTGTATGTCAAAGTCTCAAACTCATCCTTGGCGCTAGAGATAAGATCAGACCAGGAAACCTGAATTTCACCATCGTTGTCACTCGTGGTAGTCCCAAAGTTGATGTTTCTCAATTTTTGTTTCTCAGAAAACTTCGCCATACCTCACAGGACTCTGACTGCATACCTCATTGGACTGAAAAGTGGTGGATATAAATCCTGACTACTATAGCTGAAAAATCCCCACTGAGCAGCAAGCCATCGTACCAAAACATGAGGGCATGCATTCCTTCCCCAGCTTCCAACTTTTTTAGAAAAGGGAAAGTTTAAAGAGGAGGAGAGCTGAGCCAGTGTCACCCCTCATGTTGCTTTTCGAGAGCAAGAGATATTTGACTCCTGTGAGTAAGATAACAAGACTAAAAGGTGCCCCTTTGAAACGATGGACGTGCCATTACTGTGTAATTCTGTCTCAGTGAGCAGATCAGGGGTTGAAGATAAAATGCTAAAATCTACGGGCACAGCATGTGACTGGTAGAAAGGAATTGTTCTTTTTTAACATGCACAGCACGCGCTATTCCAAAAATGCGCAGATGCTGCTGTTTCATTATGCTGCCAAGCCTCCCAGCCAGGCCTGCTGACGCAATGGGAGGCTGCCCATGGACCCACTCTGCTCCAGAGCCATCTCTGCTTTGTGAGGCAGCAGCTCACCCAGACCAGCACGTTCGCCAGTCATCATGACTGCACCCTGCTTTTCTGCATCTGCTGCCATCCCATTGAGTAGAAGATCAGTGCAACAATGGTGATGTTAGGAGGCTTGTGGGCAGCCAAAAAAGCCCCTCGGCCCTTAGGTAAGCACATATTTCTGCAAGTAGTAAGCAAAAGCAGTGTTCAGCTTTCCAAACACTCCTTTAAAGGGAAAAAATTCTCCCTTTTTCTCCTTCTTTCAAACAGACTATTTCATTGACAATGCCTTATAATAAAACAATACAGTGCCTACAGATCTGCTCCTGAACTTTGCAGCATTTGCTATTCGCTCCGCTTCCAAGCAAAAACCATTCTGCCTTAGGTGCTGATTCCAAAAAGTTGATCCAAGTGATAAAGAAGCATCACCAGAGCCGCTGTTTGCTGATTTCCAAACTGATTCTCCTTCTATCTGAAAAGGCAAATGCTTACATCTGCTTGTGCACATTTCTAGGCTATATCTTGGGCACTATGCATACAGTCAACCGTGTTCTCTTCACTGTTTGGTGCCGCAAAGCAAGGAGCAGCTGCAAGCAAGGAGCAGCCTAGCTGTAGCCTGGGTTAAAAACGCTTCCTGCAGCTCAAGATCACATTGGCTGTGCCCGGAGCGGTCCGTCAATCCTCTTTTCTTCAGCCGCAAATCAGCTGAGAGGAGAAATGAAGATGGACCCAGCAGCTCCAGCTACGCCTTACAAAATACTGACCTCCACCAATGTTTTTAAGAGTTCACAGGGTGCATGAGAGCTCTGCTAGCACTTTGAAAAATAGTATTGATGCAAGAGGTCTACAGTTCATTGGAGATGGAAAAGCTAAAACACATTTTCTTAATATATATAAAGAACATGCAATTGTGACTGTGCTCACACAAAACATCTCCTCCCATTTATCTTGGGGAAGAAAATCCACCACCAATTGTTTCTCACTACAGAAGATGAACGGTAAGCCATGAGAAACAGAACTGGGGAAAGATATACTACAGCTTCCTTCACTTAGACACTTAGGTGAAAGCTATTAGCAAAAGGAGAATGAATTGACTGTCCCACAGACCTGGTCTGGAAACTTCCTAAATACGTTAGTAAACTTTTATCTTTTCTCTGACCATTTTTTATTATTATTATTAATATTCCTTTGAGATTAGTTCAGGAAACAGCAGCTCTGCGTAACCATTTCTCATGTTGCACTAGGAAAGGAACAAATCATGATCTTTCGTGCCTTCTTTTTGTTTAGAAACCTGAATGTACTTAGCAACAAACATATTTTCTCCAGTCTTATCGTGGGCTGTATGATCTTCACTCTCCATAAGAATGATAAATGGGCTCTTCTTGCCCCTGTGTGTAGACTCAAATTCAGAGAGGAGGTGTCTTCTGAATGGAACTACTAAATGCACCTAAACATGAATTTGCAAAATCACACTGAATGCAGAAGAATCAACACAAATTTCAACAGTAGGTCCCAAAATGAATGCAGGAGCCATCTGGTATTGCTCTAAAGGTGTGCTCGACAGCAGATCCTCCAAGTCCCTGGTCTTACTGAAAAATTCATGAAGTCCTGAGGACAGCTAAGGCTATGGGCTGTGGACAGCATGTGCTGTATAACCAGAATCAGGCTTTCCTTGCCATCCCATCTGGTTAGATTAGCCATGTAAGCATTTGCCTGAAGTATTCCTCTAAGACATTTTTTCCCTGTAATTCAACAACTTTCTGTTTTATTACAGGCTCCACAACATTTCTAGAACATCATTCCCGATCTGAAATCTTCCATCATGCAAAAATACAGCACCTGTTTTGAACTACATCTTTAGAAATAGGCACTAAGTAACCCACTGGAGTATTCTTAAACACTAGTGATCCTCGGCCTGAACAAACTCAACAAAATGGGACACCAGCATCATTGCAAACACATATTTAGCCCTATATTAAGATAACTGTCTGTAAGCAGCGGCAAAGAATGTAAATGCAAGAACTAGACTGGAAAAGTTCTTTGCCAATACAAAGAAGGTAACTGTCATTAAGACCACAAAGCTAATTAAGACTTCAACAGAAGATGAGGGTTATAATCCTGGCTCTGCCTCAGCCTACTTGCCTTAACACCTTCTGGCTTTATTAACACTACATCCTTGCTTTGAATATCCGTATGCATGCCACTACGGTGCTCCTTTTCCTATTTCTAAAGCACTAGAAATAACTTTAAAATGACATATAACCTTAAATAAAAGGAAAATTTGGATAGAGCCTCCTGTGTTCAAGAGATTTTCTGTGAAGTAGTTATATGACAGCTAAAATAAATCCTTGCACTGCTCCTTAGAGCACTGCAGCATAATGGCAGCTGGACATGGTGACTATGGGCTCTGGACAGCAATACTGCTTTCTCCTTTTCCATGGACAGAACAAGGATGTAGGGTCATGCTGGGTGGGTGGTGTCAGCCTTTCCTGTGTCTATCCTTGCCCCAACCCACCACGGAGAGGTTGGCTGGCTCTGACAGGTTAACAGCCAGCACAAAGCAAATATATATATATGTATAAACAGGGTGTGCATGAGATCTCTTGGGTAGAAGATACTTTAAAACTAGAAATGGAAGAAAAAACGCCAATGAAAATTTCTTTTTTTCTTTCCCACTTTGCTGGGTCTTTACCCATACCTTCCTTCTGACTGTGCTCATGTGGAACTTTCCATTCTGCTGACACTGATGCTTTAAACAAATTCAGATAAAAAGCAGCTAGGCACCAGTAGGAATTCTCAAAGGTTCCTAACAGTCAAAAAATCAAAGAGAAAAACTGACAAAGACCTTTGCTTTTCCATTTTCCCAGGTTTACCTTATTCAGGCGTTCAAGGGTCTCTTTTAGCTTCTGCTGATATTCACGTTCATTTCGGTACCTGCAAATAGAACGAAGGATATGAAGTTCAGCGGCCCATCCTTCTACAAACTGCATTTTTAACTGCACTATCATGCACAATATGTGCTTCACACTAATGCAAAATACGAACCTTGAGAAGTCCCAGAAGATATTTATGCATTAGTATTACTTTTTTCTTTTTTGCCCCAGCTGCTGAGTATAATTCCAGAGCTGACCAACTTCTTGTATCTGGCTTATAGAGAAACAGGCAACAGAAAGCCACATACTTGCTATCACGCTGTCACAGGAAGCCCAAGAATTAGATTATTTACAATAAAAACATAATGGATTGATGTTGGGCTACAGTGATCACCTCTCATCAGTGACTACTACATGGGTATTTGCTATGCTGGCACATTTAATTACATTAGCATTTAATTACATTGTACTTGATTTTCTTTTTAACTGGTGTTGTTCAATAAAAATAACAGAAACGTGAAACAGAAGTTGCATTTTGTACATTGATTGCGTAAGAATAATGATTTTCTATTTGAACGCATTGATGGATTAAGTTTTATGTCCTCTTCAATATCAATTCATACAGTAGTTTAGTCAAAATCACATCAGTCTTAGTATGGACTGCATTTAGCCAACAACTCTTGTGCGTGTATAAAAATTCAGTGAGTGCCTAGTGTGCATATTTCTATACAGAGTGAGCAATGGATGTATAATGTGCTTATTCATTGTCCCCTGTTCATTGCTGGGGGTTGGACTGGATGGCCTTTAAGGGTCCCTTCCAACTCCAACGATTCGGTGATGCTATGAAATGGCTAATTGCTAATTTTCTAACAAAACTAAAACAATGTCATTGTGCCAAACTGCAGGAACACAAGTTTCACTTCCAAGGGTACAACCAAGAATATTCAACTTCAAAAGCAAGACTGCATTTGTTTCTGCTATTTATTAAATAAGTCACCTCCAACAAATTTTCTATTTTACAAATATTTTGTGGACGCTTGACATTTTCTGGCAACTGGGCAAGAATAAATCTGATCATGCCAGCTTGGGAAAATCAAATGCATGGCTACAATATAAAGATGGATTTGCACTCCTAATAATATGCAAAAATTCCAACAGTGTCAGGGGCTAAATCTCAGCCCCAGTGCCATTCAGGCCTTTTCTAACCTGGCTAGCTGTGAGGTCCACAGTCAAAAATTCTTCCAATGACTAAAATCACAGAATCACAGAATTGTAGGGCTTGGAAGGGACCTTTAGAGATCATCGAGACCAACGCTCAGCTGCATTTTCCTTGCCTCTCAAATAACCCAAATCTCTGCTGTGTCACACAGAAATCCACCTGTCAGTCATGAGCAGTGGATATCTATTATTATTCTCTGAATGAGGATTGCCTTTAAGGGATTTTAATGTACTCCATAAGCTCAGTGCAGAAGGGTGAAGGACCTTTTAGAAATGCTTCAGAGATCTCATGATGCTACATGCAAGCCTCTGTGCTGCTGAAACGTATGCTAGTGGCTAATAAGCTGCACGCTCTTACACTTCCAACCTGATGTCCAAGTTCAAGCAATTAGCAGGACATGTTTAAAGGAGGTCTGTATTTCTTAGATAGCTGCTAGTTGACCTTTGCTTGCCCTTAAGAGCCATAAGACTCATCCGCTTCTTTAAACAAATAAAAAAAATCCTCCTCATCCAGTCAAATAGCTTTACAGATTTAACAAATGTTTTTGGACTCTGTTTAGAAAAAGCATTATTCATTCGTTTTTTGCACAGAAGAAAATAGATGGAGTGGAGGTGTCCGCCAGGTTCAAACACAGCAGAACAGAGCTGTAAAGGATCCCATTAGCTCACCTTTCTGAGGTTAGCAGCTCCCTGCTGGAGTACTTACAGATATCTTGAGCCCTTGCACAGCTACAGGCATCAGCCTTGTGTGACCAATGGCTATACAGGAAGGAAGCCTGACTCTGGGCTTTATTCTCTGCTGGAAAACAATGCTGCAAACAACTTTTCCCATCTTCTGCTGCCAGGCCAAGACCGTTCCTGAAAGACGTGGCAGGGAAGGCCTCTCTCATGCACACCTTGTCTCTGATGCAATGCAAGGGCTGCCTTCTCTCCACAGAGAAAACAATCACAATACATCACAGTGAGGTTCAACGGACAGAGACTCAATTTGGTGTCAAGTTTGTGCCTTTAATATACAGAGGTATGGGAATGATGCCTCTCTGTTGATCCCTACTGAGTTTCTTCCAGCAATACAGGAAGCTTCCCAACACATCACAAGGCAAGACAAAACTTTACTACTAGGTATAAGCTTCCCCGAGGCATTTCACTAGCCTTTTCTCAACAGAAACAGCAGTCATTTGAGCACCAAAGAGAGCACAAACTGCAATACGCCAGTCCTATGAGGATGACAGACAAGCTAATAAGGATTGTATTTCATGCCCTGAAGGCTGGGACGAGCCATGTGTGGGCTCCGCTCTGCTGATTTGTGAGCAGATTGCTACCTGCGTTATTACAGAGCTGCTACCAAAGTGCAAGATTTCAGCCCTCTGAGGAGTGCGTGGAGGCAGACTGGGCCTCCTCACCTGCAGGATAAAACTACGGCCAGAGTAGAGGCAGCAGTGCAGAGACAACCCCTGCTGACAAGGCTTGAAGACAGCTTTGCCAGTGTTCATCAGCCATCATTAGCTCAGCAGGTCCCAGCCCTGATGTTGTGGTACCTGCTTTCATTTCCCCTCATCGGTGTAGTTTGTGTGCTGCACACCCACTGCATGTCAGCTTGTCTGAGCATCACTGTGCAGGTAGGAGAACCAAGTGCCCATTTCTGTGTCTGGTGATTTCCAGGGAATCACGCAGCATGCAAAACCCACAATATTAGCACTGAATGAATTTTAAATGGAATGATCGATTAGCAAGACTTTTAATTCCTGAAATTAATTAATTCCGCTCAGTCACGGGTGCTAAAATCTGGTTTTCAGCATCTTTCCAGATATCACAGAGAGAGAAATGCAGTCCTTTCCCACAAACAGATGTACTGCTGCTGTAATAATGATGCTCGATAAAAATTAGCATAATTAGCCCTTTGATGAGTCGCATCCAAACAGTTCCTCACTGTGCTTTTTTCTAACTTCAAGGGAACAAATTCTCCTCTGGCACAATCTGAACTATTCACATTGATGTGAAAAGCTATGGACGTGCCTACAGAGGGTTTAAAAATAAATTTAAACCTAGGATATACTTTCCAGTGGTTCACATACCTCTAATTTTACAGACAAAGTGGTCCCAGGGTATACTGTATGTATTATAAATCTATTTCTCTAATGGTGAATGTGAGCAAAAGAATGTGTTGTGAGAGCTAAAACTCTTTGCCTTAGTGAAAAGCACAGACACACTGGAACAGGTTGCCCAAGGAGGTTGTGGATACCCCATTCCTGGAGGCATTAAAGGGCAGGCTGGATGTGGCTGGATATGGGCAGCCTGGTCTGGTGGTTGGCAACCCTGCACGTAGCACGGGGGTTAAAACTAGATGATCATTTTGGTCCTTTTCAACCCAGGCCATTCTATGATTCTATGATATGATTCTATGATTATTCTCCAGGAGATGTTATCAATCCTAGCACAGAAGTCAGTGCTTTATGTTCCAAAATGTTCCCCTATGCTATGCTGCTGACTGAAGGCATAGGCAGGTAGGAGTGTTGGAGCACTGCAAAGCAGGAGCTCCGATTTCTCCTTCCACAGCCCCAACACAGCACAGATGGTTATCACTCCATATTTGGGGAGCAGAAAGCACAGGCATGGGTAGCTGTGAGGTGAGCACTGAGGGTGCATAGTGCTGGGGCACTGACCTTGTTTTAAATCCAACCAGTCTTTGAAAAGCTTTCACACCTGTTCTGCAAGTCAAGTTCAACAGCTTCCAAAAGGGGAAAAACAAAGCCCAAATTCACCTTAGAATTGCTCAGGTCGAAAAAGACCTCAAAGATCATTGAGTCCAACCACAACCTAACTATACTACTTTAACAAGCCTCCGCTAAATCAAGTCCCTTGGCTACATCCAAGCCAACAGAAATTTAAAGTTCAAAGCTACAGATATAGAAGGCCATTGCAATGGAATGGCAGTGGCTGCTTTTTGACCAAATTGCCTTTGATTATCCCAGAGTTTCTTTTTTACTTCTGATTACTGCTGCTGAGTGAACATCCCAGGGCAGTGTGATGAGATACCAACTAATTTTTCTGAAAAATCATTAACTACCACTGTACCAGGTCCTAAACCTCATTTTCTAAAAGCAAAGTGCTTTCTATGAGTATTTATGACCTCCAGAGCCTTGCATTCTTGCCCACTCATTCACAACCTATGCAAAACAGCGCTAACAAGAAGCAAGTGATGCTGTGTCAGATCCTGCTGATGGGGAGCTGTACAGGTCACTAATCCACAAAGCATGCAGTTGGATGCAGGAATCTATCAAAAGGTATTTCTGTCCATTTTGCACATATTTTTAACTAATACACAGCTGGCACTAAGTTTAGTTAAAATCTCATAGACACTGCTTAATTAAAACATACAAAAAAGTATCAAAGTTGACAGTTAAATTACACCATTGGCTCTTAGCTGAATTTCCTGCTCTTGGCTATTGGAATACAGAACTGCCTAATCTGGCACTCATTACTCATTGACTCACAGCCAGGGAGTCATGAATTTCTGACCACTTCCAGTATTAAGCCTCAGTGCACCTGCATGGGTTGTTCTCTGTTGTTGCAGATCAGAAACAGAGACGAGGGTTAGGAACTTATTTGTGCCACAGCTCCCACGAGCTCTTTGTGTGGCAGATTGCTGGTACTGGGTTGGAGCTATTGATATTTATTTATTTTGGCTGTCTCATTTTTTGCCCCATGAACAGCTTTGGCAGCACTGTAGAGCAGCGTGCTGGGCTCGGGAGGGCAGGATGAGCATGTGTTAGGGTGGTTATAGCTACTGGGAGTGATGGATCATCAAACTACAGCATCAAGATGCAGATGGTCACATTGCCAATTGTTTCACACCTGCTTTCTGGCTCTTCCCAATTGTTCAAAGAAAACCCAAACAAACCCAGACAATTGTAGAAACTGAAGGGAAATACAAGCAGTCTTATACTTACTAGTCCAGAGGAGTGGGAAATCCGTAGTAGAACAGACTGAAAAATTACATGATTTGGCTAAGGTCAGGCCAAAGTCTATGGTGGTGACAAGGGATGAAATGTCGAGTGACTCATATATTTCTGCAGCAGCAAGACAGTGCTGCTCCAGCTGGTTCACCTCCTCCCTTCTTAAAAATGTTTTCGGTGAGTCCAGTGGGCACTGCCTGGGAGCAGCTTTGTTTCTATCAAGACTGTTTCTTGAAAATACTTCATTTGCCTCCTTCCTATCCTTGTCAGTAAGTGTTTCTAACCCAAAGTAGCTTACATGGTGTTCTTCTCTCATCCTTTGGTGGGGAAGTGAAAAGTTTTACTTCAGCTTGTATACTGCTGCCTAATTTTCCCTTTTTTTCCCATCATCGGCCCTTTTATCAGCAACATTCTCCAGGTCATGTTGTAGAAGTAATTAGGCAACATGGCCAAAACTGGCTGCTGCTAAAGAGAAGGGACTACGTGTGTCTGGAGGCTCTTGCATGCTTCAGCCCCTAATTCTCTTGCTCTTATTTAAAGTACCAATGAAGCTAAAGAGAAATGAAGTTTGAGGAAAATTTTCTCACAGGTATTGCTTAAGTAGCACGTGCCAGAAATATTGGGACGCAAGGAAAAAAAGGAAGTTAACTAGGCAAATCCCTCTCACATACCAAGAAAAATAATTATTTTCTCTTTTCATCCTGCATCCGTAGAGGCTGGTCCAGGTGATTTACAACACCTGTAAATAATAACAGTTTCTTAGAGATGTCCTAAACGTTTCAGGAAGTGTTTGGAGTCTTGTAACTCTGCTATTCAGACACTTGGCTCATTTTGTGCCAGGATGGTTTTCTAATTGGTCTTTTCCCTGTTGGCAGCTCAGAGCACAGCACTGCTAAAGCTAAGAAATGACAGCGTGTGCCATGGTGAAGGAACATTGCCCCCCTAGTAGTAGGGACAGCATGAAGAGCAGAGCCGGTGCTCCCTACACACTGTATACTATCCCTGGCTACAAGTCTGAAACATGAGGAGAGACATCACCACGCAAAAGAAGCAGCCAGCGACCAAAACTACCCTTAGGACACAACTACAGAAGCAATACTACCTCCTCCCTCCCTCCTCCAGCCTTACTTGTTGCGATACTCATCAAGCATGCGCTGGGCATCCTTCTCCTCCCGCTCCAGCTTGGCCCGGTCGGACGCCAGCTCCCGCATTCGTTGGCGGTTGAACTCGATCTGCCCGGCGAAGGCTTCGTCCAAGCCCACCAGCTCATCCATGCGCTGGAAGGTCTCCAGCTGCTTGCGCAGGATGGTGTTGCGCTGCTCCAGCACGCGCGCCCTGTTGATGTAGCTGGCGAAGCGCTCGTTGAGTTCCTGCAGGTTCTCCAGGCCTTGGGCTTGGGCCAAGCTGTCAAATTCGGGGGAGCCCCGCAGCTCATCATAGGCGTCCGAGCGCTCGTACTTCTCCTTGCGAACCTCGCGGAGGAAGCTGCTCCTGTACATGGCTTCGGGGGGGCTGTGTGGTGCCGGTGTCCCCTCTTCCGTGCCTGCCTGTCTCTCCAGTTTGGATCTGATTTGTATCTGGGGGGTTTGGGGAGGAAGAATTGACCATAATCACCCCCCAGATGATTAGGAGTTGCTTCCAGGGCTGTTTGTGGCACTAAAGGCATCATCTGCAGCAGTGAACTAAATAAATCCCCATGGCCCCGCCTTGGGGCTGCCCGTCCAGGCGTCAGCAGTTCAGAAGAGCTTTCTTTTCGAGTGTTGCAATTGCATAGGCAGAATAAAAGAGAGCAATGTCCAGCTTTTGCCTGGTGGATTATCCATGGACAACAAAATGAGCGCTTTGCAGTTTCAGAGGCTGAGTTCAAAGCCTGTCCTGGCTGTGTTGCAGGGGAGAGCTTTGTCCCTTGTTGTTGTCTCCAGGCACTGTGTACAGGCCTTCTGCTGAGCCAGGATTTTGGTCTGAGCGGATGGAACAGCTTGATTTTTGTTACTTGGCAGTTTTGCAGTTGTTTGGGATTACATTATGGTATATAAAAAAGTCAGCATGGCTCCTGCTCCAGATACAAAATTTGGCCATTTGGTTCTCACCTCATACTTCATCACATCAGCCTTTCCTGTGCAGTAAGTTTACCAAGCACAAGAGGCATGAAAGCAGGAGGATCACAGTCATACTTTATAGAATTGGTAGTCCAACTCAGGAATAGCTAAGTGCCATGTCCCTTCATGGCGTGGCAGACAGTAAGTTACCTCATGGAGAATCACCATCCTTCCCTCCCATCCCTTTAACCCCCCTCACATGCCACCATTCCCAGAGAGTCTCTAGTTTCTCTAATAGAGATAGATGTACTTCCTGTAACTTTTTCTTTTGAAGTCTTTACCTCTTTGTACACAGATTTTTGTTCCTCCAGAAGCGCTCACATAGCCAAGAAGCCCAACACCAGGACAGCCCAATATTGACATCTCTGTTAATAATTCATTTACATTTAAGTCACTTTTTCATTTTTCAATGGACGCATCTAGTATGGATATTTAGATCGTATGTCTTGAAACCTTAACAGAGAGTGGCCCTACTGACAGCAGGTGCAGAGGAGAAGAAAGATGCTGGGTGCTCAGGTAATTCTGAAATTCAGCTGCTCTTTAATCAAATCTGTATCTAGAGTAATAAAAAGCCCATTAGAGGTTTTCTGCATCTTCCCTATTCTGCTTCACGTTATTTGGAAATGTAAATAGGGAAAGATCAAACGATCTTTCAGAAAATCAAAGTAGGGTTTGTGCACATATCATTCAGCTCTGTACACAGCCTCTGAAATAGTTAAACAATAAAACAGATAGTTATAAAGAAATATATATATATATTTGCATCTGCATGTTGCACAGAAAGCAAAGCCTTCCACACAGCACCAACACACAGCTCTGTGGCGAGACAAGCCTGCCCAGCCAAACAATGCAGCAGCTGCTGATGTTTTTACAGAGTTAGTCTTCCAGAAGAGATCAGAAAGCAGATTCTGCTGGACTGTGGGCACCATACTTTTATGGCAAGAGATTTTTAAGCTTTAGAATCACAGAATTACCAAGGCTGGAAAAGACCCCTGAGATCATCCCAGCCAACTGCTCACCTACCACCAGTATCTCCTCACTAAACCTTATCCATTAACACTAAACCACGTCCCTTAGGTATCTTATCAGAACAGAAATAGCCTTTGAGGGAACTCTCCCAGTCCTCCTCCTGAGGCTGGAAGCAGTGCTGACTCCACACTAGGCATGAACCTTAACCCTCTAGGCAATAAACACAAAAATGTCATGTTCTGCTACAGGCTGCATTTCTCCAAGTGGGATTCCTGACTCAGTAAAGTCTCACCTTGGGTTGTTTCTCTGCTGGCTTGCTGCAAACATTGCTTTACTGTGGGCGAAGCAAGTATGCATGGCTCATGCTCTGTGCTCATGGCTTCCTGTGACAGAGGCTCTGACTCAGTGAGGGAGCATGAGGAGACATTCTGGCCTCCAGAGAGCTCGCGGTCAATGCAATGCAGCAAACCAGAATGACACAACCTGAAAGACAAAAACAGCTTGGCCTAGACTGCAGATGTTACCCTGTTTCTTTTGAAACCAAGAATGTCAAAAGCAACACGGAAAAATCAATCTACTCCTGCTGTGCACAAATTACTTGGCTCATCTAATGGACCACCAAGGTGAATTTCATACAAAGGGATCCTGAAGGCTGTTTTATGCTTAAGTGATGGCTCAAAAACCAAAAGATTATCAATAAACATTAGTGAAATGTCTGGCAAATTGCTGCTTGGAAGCTTCCTAGATTTTTATCAGTGTGCATGTATCAAAAAATCACTTATATACAGAGAATCTTTTTTACCCATTGCCCACAATATCAATAAAAAGTAACAATAAGAAATGATTCCTATCTTTCCTTCTTTGTTCCCAGGGTACATGTCTTGCTCCTGCGAGAACAAAATCTGAAGGCTGGCTCTTTACATTCTAAATGTGTTCTATGATACATCATTATCGCCCCAGAGCAAATGTTTACCTACTGCTGCACAGCTCAATAAAGCCCTGATGCAGTGGGTGCTTTTCTTCCTCTTTAATTGCTTGTATTGCCATGAACTCCCTCTCAATCTAAATTGGCTATAACCTTTATGTACAACATCAGCATATTTTACCAATGCCACCAACCTGCTTGCACTCCTTCCTATTCAGCTCCACCAACACAAGTTTCTCATGCTAAATCAAACCAATTTAAATCAAACACACAAAACACAACACAACCATCCAAACAAAACCTCTTCCTGCTATTTTCTCAGTAAGACCATGACAGCTCATTGGTCTGCCTACTTAGCTGACATGAACTGATCCCAGCCCACAGTGTAGGGCTTTACACTCTGTTCTCTCTTGCTGTCCTTTGAAGTTGTTTTGTTTTATTCAGAGCCTGACACTAATAGCCCAAAGTATCCTGTTCCTGTAGTCCAGAATGAAACTTCAGAGCAGGGCATGCTAATGAAATTCCAAATGTGCATTTCATGGCAAGGTCTCATTAGGCAGAAATTGAGATTATTTTTCATGCTGAGAATTGAGGTTATTCTTCATGTAGAGAATTGATGCTCAAAAGGCCACGTCACATCGCATGGCTGAAAAGAGCGGTGGTGCAAGGCATTCAGGGCACATCTCCGTGAACATGAACATGTCTAATGAGAGAGATGAGATGAATTGAGGCTGATTAGCTTTAAGGAAGACTCAAAGGGATGTAACTTCAAATAAGAAAGAGTCCATTATATAGGGGAAAAAAAAAAAAAAAAAAAAGAGGTTTCTTTTCCACATCCATAGTGAATAGAATAGAACAAGAAATAATGGGTTTAAACTGTGTAATTTAAGATACAAACGAGTTATGCGGAAAGTGGTCTAACAGGATGAATAATGAAGCACCAGAATAAAAGGCTGCAAAATCTGTCACTGAAGCACTTACAGATCAGACTAAGCAAACACCACTCAGGGCTGAGAGAGGTTTCATTCATCCAGCCATAGGAATGATGAGAGCTTGCTGCTGATTTCCAGGGGGACACAGCAAGGGGACCCCTTAGTGCCCCCAGGGCCCTGACAGTGACTTCTGAGACCTCTGCCAATCCTGTCAGAGCCACACACTCCCGCTTGTAAGCACCTTTATGTGCAGTCTTCCTATTTGCTTTAGAAATTGATCTCTAGTGGATGATGTCCAGCACACTGCAGCACAGCTGGATGCTGACTTCAGCCTGTTTATTTTTACCCTGAGTGAAGCAAAGGGCACCATGTCTAGCCCAGTGGACCACATAACACTAAATACTACTGCTGTCAAAAACAGCAGGTTTGTCCAGATGCTGTTCTTCCTGACCCCAAATTAAGGCAGCTGTCTCTAAGGGAATTTAGAAAATAGCTGTGCCATGTTTCATGTATGAACTTAGAGAGCACAGATATTGCTATCCCTGCAGGCAGCATCAGAAAGATCAGGGCCCAGGGCTGTTTCAGCAATGTGGTTAAGCAGTGGTCATGTACCACCAGAGGGCTGTAGTCCAACAGCAGGAACAGGCTGTGCGTTTGAGATCCTGTGCCAAAAGCACCAGCATCTGACAGAAGTAACACGTGATTCCTACAGAGAATTTGCTCTGAAACAAGATGGACTTTGTCCTTCTTGCAACAGTACATGTACTGAACAAAGTGTGCTGCTTCTGGTCAAGGAGACCCAACAACACCAAGGCTGGGGCAGCCCCTGATGAAGATGAACATGCAGCTGTGAAGCTGTGTACATGCTGCACTGCTCAGGACACACAACAAGCTCAGGTCAACACCATGAAGTTAATAAACATTGGGGACAGATCCTCCGCTGAGCTGTCCCTGTGAAGTCAGGCCAGCACAGAATTACTGAGAGCTGGGCATACCACGAGGAATCAAGGGAAAGAACACCAACAACTCTCCATGGCAATCATAAACAAAAATAAAACCAGCTTTACTTTTCTGGCCTGCTTTTCCTAGCAAGTCCATAGCTGTAGTAAGCTGTGAAATTGCAGCGTTAGACAAACTCTAAGAAGCCAAGCTACTTTTTTTTTCCTGTCATTTTGGCCATTATTCAGGAAAAAAAAAGAAAAAGAAAAAAAGCACACCATTGTAAAAGAGTAAAATAGAAGATCAAAGATGAAAACTGGGTAAATACTCTGGGTTTTGGTTTTATTTTTTTATTTTCATTTTTCTACTTTAGTCTTAATCTAGCCACTTGCTTTTGTTCACTTGTTTCTTTTTCTGAACAACGCACAATGCAGCAAAGGGACAATAGATCATCAAAAGCATGAGATCTCTGGAAGATAACAGTTGCTTTAGGTAGGTAGACCACTACCTACAATTACCTTAAATCCCCCATCTCTCTACACTGTTACTGAATAATATGGTTGATTTAGGAGGACAGGATTTTTTGGAGGTATATCCATGTTTGCATGTTTTCATCCAAAAACTGATGAAAATCAGAAGTATCTCTTTTCTCCTTATAGAAATAACATTTGTTTGTTAGGATTCAGAAGACCTTAAGTAAAATATTACGTCCATTTTCTTGGTACTGCAGAACAAAAACTAACTCATCTGAACATGTCTTATCTTTCAGAATATCTCCCAGAAACTTC